GGGCATCTGGCACTATTCAACCGGCACTAAAAGGGTCCCTCGACTGTACCCACTTTTGTCCGAGAATGGCGTGGGAATACCCATGTGTCCATTTGCCAAAAACTATATCAATTGTTTCCCGCTTTCGCTTCGGTCTTCTTCCACGGATACCAGTACGTACGCAGAAGCACAATAGTTTCGGGTTGTGTACGGTGGGGTAGGGTGCGGCTTGTACGTTGTGTGTTTGGGTGAGTGTACGGTTGGCAACTTCCATACCAATAATATTAGTCTATGAAAATAACTGGCATCCCTCGTGAACCGCGACAATCGTAGGGAAAGGAGTGGCGCTCCGCGGGCTCCGTCCCCACGTGTAAAAGGTACGCACATGTACCTCATTCCGGCAGCTGAAAAGGAAATCAATCTTGGATTTGGGGGTCGTTGAAATCGCACCCTCTATGAAAACAACTGGCATCCCTCGTGAACCGCGACAATCGTAGGGAAAGGAGTGGCGCTCCGCGGGCTCCGTCCCCACGTGTAAAAGGTACGCACATGTACCTCATTCCGGCAGCTGAAAAGGAAATCAATCTTGGATTTGGGGGTCGTTGAAATCGCACCCTCTATGAAAACAACTGGCATCCCTCGTGAACCGCGACAATCGTAGGGAAAGGAGTGGCGCTCCGCGGGCTCCGTCCCCACGTGTAAAAGGTACGCACATGTACCTCATTCCGGCAGCTGAAAAGGAAATCAATCTTGGATTTGGGGGTCGTTGAAATCGCACCCTCTATGAAAACAACTGGCATCCCTCGTGAACCGCGACAATCGTAGGGAAAGGAGTGGCGCTCCGCGGGCTCCGTCCCCACGTGTAAAAGGTACGCACATGTACCTCATTCCGGCAGCTGAAAAGGAAATCAATCTTGGATTTGGGGGTCGGAGAAATCGCACCGGGTGCGATTTCAACGACCCCGGTGCGTGTCGAATTAATTTTTTTTTCTCGGGTTTTTTATCTCACCCTGGTGCCATCTCTCCGACCGGTGCCATCTCCCCGGCCGGGGCCAACTCTCCGACTCTTGCGGCAGTCTTTAAACACCCCCCCGGCTGTATGTCTGCCCACAAGGCACCAATCGAGCGCGACGTGCACGACTGTGTTGCTGTGTTGTGGGGCTATCGCGAGACCCGCCGTACAGCCGAAACTGTTCAGGTTTGGTGCAGCCCATGGCTGATGGGCAAAATATATCTGTTGCCCCAACCTGCTCCACTGGTGAGGTAGTAGATGTCCCCTTGAAAACCCCACCAGCTGCATGTTGCCCTACAAGGCTCCAATCGACTGACAAACACCGGTAGGAGTGTGTGGAACATTGACGCACAGCACACAGGAGCGGGCAGCAGGTGAGGCGAACAGCACACCAAGTATTCCTGCCCACAGCTTTTTGCACACCCATCCCCCCCCCGGG